CGAGCAAGACGTCCTGGTCGACGTGTCATAGTGAGTCGACAACATCGTCAACAACGACTACAACAGGGTATGGCTTCAACTGCAATGGAGCGATGTCTGGTTCAGCGACGAATCAAGAATTCTCCTCCGTCGAGGGGACGGAAGAGCATGGGTCTACAGACGTCGTGGAGAACTACGTACAGGAAGTGGACAGGTTTGGTTGGGGTAGCGTTATGATGTGGGCGGCTATCTCTCATCATGGCAGAACAGGTTTTGTCCAAATCCAGGGCATAACGTTATCTTACGGCTCAAGGATACATCAACGAAAATCTCCTGCAACACGTCCTCCCAATTGCAGCCAACGACAACGGTGTATTCCAGCAGAACAACGCTCGAGAGCATACAACATGGATCACAAGAGCCTGTCTACACCACAAAAACTTTGATCTTCTCCCCTGACCCTCCAGATCCCCGGATTTGAACACGATAGAGCACCTGTTGGAGTGAGTGAGTGAGTGAGTGAGTATGATTTTACGAGGCTTTTAGCAATATTCCAGCAATACCACGGCGGGGGACACCAGAAATGGGCTTCACACATTGTACTCATGTCGGGAATGGAACCCGGGTCTTCGGCGTGAGGAGCGAACGCTTTAACCACTAGGCTACCCGACCGCCCCTGTTGGATGAATTGGATAGACGGCTACGCCGACGTTACCCACAACCCCAGACGTTGCAGCAGTTGGCTTTTGCGTTGCAGGCCGAGTGGGCTACCATTCACCAGGATGTGATTCGCATACCCGTTTCTTCCATGGGCAGGATATGTCAGGCCGCTATCGATTCCAACAGGGGACATACGCGTTATTGATGGCAGCTGACCTTCACCTTGCACCTTTCCTATGTACCGATAACTGAGATGACTACAACCACCAAGTGTTCTCTCCACAACATTTTGGCTCCATACCTTGTACGATTCCTAGTCTGGCTTTGCGTTTCTTTTTTTGAACAGTATAGATTTAAATATGTGTATTTTTTTCGTCAAAATGAATATGAAAATGTAAAACATGTCTTTATATCATGTGAACTTGTGAAGGGATTGAGGAAGGGTATTGGATTTTATCGAAAAAAATAATTTGTCCCCGAAAATTCTTGAAAAACAAAATCGTGCATAAGACTTTTTTTTTTTTTTTTAAAAAGAAATTGCCTGCAACAAACATAACAATTGGTGCAAGGTGTTTTTCTTTTTTTAAAAATAAAGCTAAAAAAAATATCTGGTTTTGCAGCTGCAGCTGAAAAATATTTAATCTCGATACAGATACAAAATCCCAGTATTAAAACTTCACCGAGAAGCATTCTTAAGAATTACTTTGAATGAAATAAAAGTGGAAACTTATGTGACCTGAAGAAAACCACCAGTTTTCCAAACTTCAAGAGGACAGTGCAATTTCTCCGAATATAACGAAATATTAGACATGAACATGATGAATTACAAATGTACCATGAACCATGGCATTCCGTCTGACGTGCTCTTAAACGTGAATAACACTGTATATAACTGATTTATGCTGTATACACTTACTGATATGAATAAAAAATTACACTGTTTAAGTTCTTCAAGCATGTCTGAGTATTCCACTGCGTTAACACATAAGATGCATTATATTTAATTATACACGATGTAGGCCACGCCAATCAATTTATACAATTGTCAGAAATGTAGACCATTTTTTTCATGTAAATACGTCGCCCCACTTGAATTTCAAATGTATTCAAACACGGCTGGATTTAAAGAACTTGATTCAACTTGCACCAGGTGCATGTTGACAGGAAAAACCAAGTTGCACCAAAACAAACCAGGTTGCACCCTTGTCCCATGAATTTATCAAAGTTGAAACGTAGGGCGGTCTGCTGCCATAAATTGATGTTTAGTTTGTTTGTTGTTTAACGCCGCACTCAGCAATATTCCGGCTATATGACGGCGGTCTGTAAATAATCGAGTCTGAACCAGATAATCCAGTGATTGATATCATGAGCATCGATCCACGCAATTGGGATCGATGACATGCATCAACCAAGTCAGCAAGCCTAACCACCCGATCCCGTTAGTCATAAATTAATGACTCAAAGTTGAGGTGAAATGGGGTTTAAGGTCGCGTACAAGATTGTTGCACTAACATATATAGCAATGTGCATGCACTAGTGCAGACTGATGCCGATGTATAGTGCTAGCCAACTGAGTTACCATGTCGCAGTGTATCATGAATACCCCACTCAGACAGTAAACTGACTCTGGGCCGACCAGTCCTTGTTTTAGCCCCTTTTATGCCAAGCGCCAGACAGGGTAACAACAACTACCCAATTGCATGCACCACTCATGTAGGTTTGTGAAACACTATATTCCTGTACATTACTACAGAGTGTCTATAAGCTAGACGGACATGTTGAAGGTTGCAACTACACTACATTCACACTATAGTCAGTACATTACATCAGGGAGTCTATAGAAGCTAGACGAACATCTTGAAGATTGCAACTAGGTTGCAATTACACGACATTCACACTATATTCTGTACATTACACCAGGGAGTCTATAGAAGCTAGACGAAAATGTTGAAGGTTGCAACTACACTACATTCACACTATATTCTGTACATTACACCAGGGAGTCTATAGAAGCTAGACGGACATGTTGAAGGTTGCAACTACACTACATTCACACTATATTCTGTACATTACACCAGAGAGTTTATAGAAGCTAGACGAACATGTTGAAGGTTGCAACTACACGACATTCACACTATATTATGTACATTACATCAGGGAGTCTATAGAAGCTACACAAACGTGTTGAAAGGTTGCAACTACACTACATTCACACTATATTCTGTACATTACATCCGGGAGTCTATAGAAGCTAGACGAACATGTTGAAGGTTGCAACTCCACTACATTCACACTATAGTCTGTACATTACACCAGGGAGTCTATAGAAGCTAGACCAACATACTGAAGGTTGCAACTACATTACATTCACACTATATGCTGTACATTACACCAGGGAGTCTATACAAGCTAGACGAACAGGTTGAAGGTTGCAACTACACTACATTCACACTAAAGTCTGTACATTACACCAGGGAGTCTATAGAAGCTAGACGGACATGTTGAAGGTTGCAACTACACTACATTCACACTATATTCTGTACATTACATCAGGGAGTCTATAGAAGCTAGACGAACGTGTTGAAGGTTGCAACTACACTACATTCACACTATAGTCTGTACATTACATCCGGGAGTCTATAGAAGCTAGACGGACATGTTTAAGGTTGCAACTACACTACATTCACACTATATTCTGTACATTACATCCGGGAGTCTATAGAAGCTAGACGAACATGTTGAAGGTTGCAACTCCACTACATTCACACTATAGTCTGTACATTACACCAGGGAGTCTATAGAAGCTAGACCAACATACTGAAGGTTGCAACTACATTACATTCACACTATATGCTGTACATTACACCAGGGAGTCTATACAAGCTAGACGAACAGGTTGAAGGTTGCAACTACACTACATTCACACTAAAGTCTGTACATTACACCAGGGAGTCTATAGAAGCTAGACGGACATGTTGAAGGTTGCAACTACACTACATTCACACTATATTCTGTACATTACATCAGGGAGTCTATAGAAGCTAGACGAACGTGTTGAAGGTTGCAACTACACTACATTCACACTATAGTCTGTACATTACATCCGGGAGTCTATAGAAGCTAGACGGACATGTTTAAGGTTGCAACTACACTACATTCACACTATATTCTGTACATTACACCAGGGAGTCTGTAGAAGCTAGACGAACGTGTTGAAGGTTGCAACTACACTACATTCACACTATAGTCTGTACATTACACCAGGGAGTCTATAGAAGCTAGACGAACATGTTGAAGGTTGCAACTACACTACATTCACACTATAGTCTGTACATTACACCAGGGAGTCTATAGAAGCTAGACGAACATGTTGAAGGTTGCAACTACACTACATTCACACTATATTCTGTACATTACACCAGGGAGTCTATAGAAGCTAGACGAACATGTTGAAGGTTGCAACTACACTACATTCACACTATATTCTGTACATTACACCAGGGAGTCTAATGAAGCTAGACGAACATGTTGAAGGTTGCAACTACACTACATTCACACTATATTCTGTACATTACACCAGGGAGTCTATAGAAGCTAGACGAACGTGTTGAAGGTAGATCTGTAGATCCTCTCACTGCTGCTTATGAAGTGGTGTGTAACCGGCATAATTTTGTACATTCACATCAGCCCCAGCCTTCAGTAACACTTCAACACAGTTTGTAGATTCCCTCACTGCTGCTTTATGAAGTGGTGTGTCACCTGTATTATTCTGTACATTCACATCAGCCCCAGCCTTCAGTAACACTTCAACACAGTCTGTAGATCCAAACAATGCTGCTGTATGAAGTGGTGTGGCACCTGTATTATCTTGTACATTCACACAAGCCCCAGCCTTCTGTAACACTTCAACATACTCTGTAAATCCCCACATTGCTGCTGCTGTATGAAGTGGTGTGTCACCTGTCTTATTCTGTACATTCACATCAGCCCCAGCCTTCAGTAACATTTCAACACACTCTGTAGATCCCCTCACTGCTGCTTCATGAAGTGGTGTGTCACCTGCATTATTCAAGTCATTCACATCAGCCCCAGCCTTCAGTAACACTTCAATACACTCTGTAGATCCCCTCAGTGCTGCTCCATGAAGTGGTGTGTCACCTGTATTATTCTGTAGATTCACATCAGCCCCAGCCTTCAGTAACATTTCAATACACTCTGTAGATTCAAACAATCCTGCTCTATGAAGTGGTGTGTCACCTGTATTATCCTGTACATTCACATCAGCCCCAGCCTTCAGTAACACTTCAATACGCTCTGTAGATCCCATTAGTGCTGCTTTATGAAGTGGTGTGTCACCTGTATTATTCTGTACATTCACATCAGCTCCTGCCTTCAGTGACTCTTCAACAAACTCTGTAGATCTAAACAATGCTGCTTTATGAAGTGGTGTGGCACCTGTCTTATTCTGTACATTCACATCAGCCCCAGCCTTCAGTAACACTTCAATACACTCTGTAGATCCCATTAGTGCTGCTTTATGAAGTGGTGTGTCACCTGCATTATTCAAGTCATTCACATCAGCCCCAGCCTTCAGTAACACTTCAATACACTCTGTAGATCCCATTAGTGCTGCTTCATGAAGTGGTGTGTCACCTGTATTATTCTGTACATTCACATCAGCCCCAGCCTTCAGTAACATTTCAATACACTCTGTAGATCCAAACAATCCTGCTCTATGAAGTGGTGTGTCACCTGTATTATCCTGTACATTCACATCGGCCCCAGCCTTCAGTAACACTTCAACACACTCTGTAGATCCCATTAGTGCTGCTTCATGAAGTGGTGTGTCACCTCCATTATTCTGTTCATTCACATCAGCCCCAGCCTTCAGTAACACTTCAATACACTCTGTAGATCCCCTCACTGATGCTCCATAAAGTGGTGTGTCACCTGTATTATTCTGTTCATTCACATCAGCCCCAGCCTTCAGTAACATTTCAACACACTCTGTAGATCCCATCAGTGCTGCTTTATGAAGTGGTGTGTCACCTGTATTATCCTGTACATTCACATCGGCCCCAGCCTTCAGTAACACTTCAATAAACTCTGTAGATCCCATTAGTGCTGCTTCATGAAGTGGTGTGTCACCTGTATTATTCTGTAGATTCACGTCAGCCCCAGCCTTCAGTAACATTTCAATACACTCTGTAGATCCAAACAATGCTGCTCTATGAAGTGGTGTGTCACCTGTATTATTCTGTACATTCACATCAGCCCCAGCCTTCAGTAACACTGCAACACACTCTGTAGATCCCCACACTGTGGCCTGTGCTGTATGAAGTGGTGTGTCACCTGTCTTATTCTGTACATTCACATCAGCCCCAGCCTTCAGTAACACATTGACACACACGGTATATCCCTGATGTGCTGCTGTATGAAGTGGTGAGTCACCTGTATCAGATGTAAGTTGATTCACACTTGCTCCTTTCGCCAGCAGAAATGACATAACATCTGACTGTCGTGTACATGAGCTGTGAAGAGGAGTATGTCCATTAGATGGCATCATGTTAACAGTAGCACCCTTCTCAAATAACATTTTGACCATAGTCAAGTTCCCCACCTCACAAACACTGTTAACAGCATCACCATCAACCTGTGCCCCTCTGTCAAAAAGAAATTCTACCATGTCCTTGTTATGGCTCATGGAAGCAAATCTAAGACCTTTCTGGTTATCCAGATCAAATCCTGTTTTCACCAGCAGATTCACCACCCCTAAGTGACCATTTTGTATGGCAAGGTACAAAGGGTCACCATTTACACGATGCACATTGACATCCACACCCGTGTTAATTGCTTGTTCCACGGCTGATGTAAGGCCATACTTGCAAAGGTAATGAAAGACAGTCTGTCCTTTACAATCGCTTGCATTCAGGTCAGGGGCAAGTGCCAGAATCTGACCGACAAACTCACTGTTTTTGGTTTCTGCTGCTAACATGATCGGAGTTACATCAAGCCAACCATATCTAGCATCCATGTCAAGCTTCATGTGTTCACTGATGTAGGTCAATACACTACAAGCAGCATTCTTGCACACCCCAAGTAAAATGTCACGTATTTCACTTTGGCTGAATGATATGTTTTCTTTCTCCATGATAAATTTGATCAGATGATGTGACTTGTTGCTTGAAAGCAATTCCAAATATGATTGTCTTGAAGAATTATCAGCTAGTTTCAGAAGATCAGGAACAGACATGTGACAGTTTGTCTTCAGACAGCCCATGAGCAAGTCAATAAACTTTGAATTACCACATGCCTCGTGCGATAAGACATGCAATAAATTGCCTCTCTCAGTTTCAGTTGCAAATCTTCTGGCTAAATGTCCAGCAAAGGTCCATGAGATGTTTGCAACAAGACCTGTCTCACTAGGAACATTTTCCCCTTGTCTTGTGGATGGTTTAATACGAAGTCGCTGATGGATGAATGACAAACTACAATTTTCGATGACAAACTTTGATTGTTTTGTACTGAGTATTAAAGCAACACTGTCATATATAGAGGGATGGTCAAACATGTATGTGTCATCTTCCTTCTTGAGATAAGATCCAACCAAATCATCAGCAGCTGTTATGCTTTCATATGCAAGATTATCATCCTCCTCCAACTCCTGTCCACTAACCTTCCCATCTCTTTTAATCATAGCCATGAACAGTGAACGCTTTATCTTATCCTTAAGAAATTTATACAAAGTCTTTCTGAGGAACACAAGAGGCATTTTAAAAAAATCTAAAACAGTCTCTGCTGAAGGTTGCGTCTGATCCTTTCCATATGTTGCGACAAACATTTTACATATATGGGGAAAGCCGTGTGGACAGTCAGCCTGACATATCTGAGACACAGTTGACTCATCAAAGTCCATCTTTGTCTTTGTTTTGACATGAACATGCCAAATCTTCCTTCGTTCACAAGAGTCTCTCTGAGAAGAAACTTCCACCACATACAGGGGACTAGATATGTAATCTGCCATCTTTCCCAAGTCTGACAATGAGGATTTCAACACATAATCACGGCCTACGAGGATAATGATAGTTTGGTCTTTGTTAGGCGCTGTTCTTTTCAGCTCTGTTTGCTCATCTTTTGTTCTCTTTAAAACATTTTTGATATCAGTGGACTTGTCTAGGGAATCTTTTTCTGTATATTTATCAGGATCTTTCACATCCACAAAAGGTTGTAGACTTGGTCTCCACTTGGCCCATTCTGCTACATCAAATTCCAGATCACCGAATATGTCATCTAACATAATGACAGGGTTAGTGCTGGCCGTTATGACCTCATTGAACTCCTCCGGTGACACCACCTGATACACTTGTCTCCCCTGAGTGTGCTGATCCTTGAGAGCCATGTAGGCTATTGTAGACTTCCCCTCTCCTGGTCGTCCTTTAATTGTCACCCATGTTGCTCCTCTGTCTAGCTTGTCTGTCACCTTCTGCAGGCCTTCTGTCTCCACCATGTCTTTAGTCCACGACTGTATCCTGGATTCCGTTCTTTCTGTAAAACAATTTTATAATTGACTATATTAAAAAATCTATGATAAAGATAACAATCTTATTATTATGATAATTTATTCTCAGTTAAAGGAACGTATTGTAGCCATCATCAAATGCGGTTTGACGCTGAGCATTCTTATGTTGACATGTGACCTGCAAACACTATCAAACTGATCAAACTGAAACATGTTTTCTCACAGCATTTCTCATTTCTGTGTAAGTTATTGTTCTAAACGAGATCAGACAGTTTACGAAAGTAAGTAGATAACTCACTCCTGATCTTCTGTGCTGCAGTCAGTTGTTTCTCCTCTTCCTGGTTGGTCCGAGGTGCACCATCGTTCTGTGTTCCTCTAATGTTCTGGGTTCCGCCAAAGTTCAGATTCCTGGCGCCCCTGACTGTCACATCCCCAAAATTCTGCTGTACGTAGAAATTGTTGTACTGGACACCTGGAACAGAAACTGGGACTGAAGCCCTCACTGATGTCTCTATATTTGAACCTAGATATCTCTATAGACAACGATCATGAAGAGAGGCATACTACTTCATATCAGTCATTATATTTCCATTAAAGGTATCATTACGTTTTCTAAAATGGCTAACATGAAATAGAGCAGAGCTTACAACTCTCTGATCAGGCCGGGTGAGATTGTATTGAGGTTTGTACGGTCACAGACACCCTGCCCCAAAATGTAGGCATAGATGCCACGGGATATTCGCTAAAAAGCATCATCTGTAAGTATCCTGTCGTAAGTATTGGATATCTGAACCTTTAGTCATGTGTGTGTATCATGTAACAGCGCTCACCTGCGGGAGAATCCACAGGCACTGGTACCCCAGGTAGCCCTGATGACTGTAACTCTGATACAACAGATCCTGGTATTCTGGGAAGAAGAGAGGAAGTGGACGCTGGTGTCATTGCTGCTGTTCTCGGGACTTGTGCAATCGTTGTTTCGGGAACTACACAAGACGTAGTTGTTGACATCTGTGTCTGACTTGTTGTCTGATCAACATCAGCAGCTGAAGCTTGCTGGAGTTGTGTCCCCTGCTGTGGTGCCGACATTACCTCTCCCTGTGGTTGCTGACAACATCCCACAATGTGTTGTGCTACTGCCGTGGTGTCTATGATGGGAACAAACATGGCTATTATCCATTCGAATTCGGATTTTCAGGAAAACCTTATGGTTACTCAGCCAATGGCCTGTTCTGACCGACATCTTTGTATCTTAGCATGTTGCAATAAAACACTGTTTTGGTTGTTTCATAATTGGCAATGATTACAGTTGGATCACAATGAAAATTTAGAGGACAGTTTTTGAAAAGAAATGTGATCAATTCATAGTTTAACTTCCGATGACATTATGGCAAGAGCGACTGGGAGTCAACTATGGATTTTGATTAAGATGATTACTTGACATGGCAACTCATATTCTGTTTCCATTATTGTGAGGCAGTATAGCCACAATGCTCTGTGGCTCACCTGAATTATGACGAAATAATGTAATGCCACTTCAGCCTATTAGTGTTATATCACATGTATGAGTACATCTTCCCGAGGAAAGGGAGTTAACTGACTCTAAAGTCCAGTTTCAATCCTTGCAGTACTGGGCTACGATTACTGTGCTCAATCTTAGGGCCACCAGTGGCTAATACGAGTTATGTCCCTTCTATGACCCTCCTATTGACCAATCAGATTCTCATATCACTTGCATTTGCTTCGAACAAAATGGCTGCACCAGTTCTGATCAGTGAACAAGATATATTGAAATAAAATGGGCCTTGCCTCGCGAAGTGCATCAAATCACCAAATCAAGTAAACACCTTGATTAAATACTTCAAGAGATTTGGAAAATTTCTGTCGACGCCCAGTTGACGGTACACATCATGCACTTGTCAAAAATGTGCACGTTGAAATCAATGTTGTTTACGAACTGCATATCAATTTCGTTATGCGTATTTAATTACACTGTGCCAGTCCAGCCAAAATATAACTCCATAATTCCAGTCTAGTTCGGCAAGGGTGGAATGGACTTAGCTGGCTCCCTTGCCTCGGGAAGATGATATGAGCATAAATAAATAACCTGAAATGCACTGCTTTCTTTTATTTTGCATTGGCTCGTTTTGTAACTTGTGTTGGCTCTTTCTGAAACAACAGGAGCCAAGTGACCGAGGAAAAACTCGAACTTGTTGCTGTCAAGAGGGCATCATTACCTAGCCTTACTTCCTGTAAGCATACATACCTTTACCTACAAGTTGGTACGACTGTTGTTGAACAGTCTGGAATTTGACCTTTGTAACACCTGCTCCAAGTTGATACATATCTTCGATTTCATCTCCCTCTTCTTCATCTGTCATGTCACCAAACAAACATTCGTCAGCACTCTCTTCATCAACATCTTTAGTTCCTGCATCCTCCACAGTACTACCTGATCCGTCAGTGGTTCCAGGCGGGTTGTCCTCATCATTGCTTTTCCTCCTGCACTTTGCTGGTGTACATTCTTCACTGTCTGTGTCACTTTGACCTTTCTCCATCTCGGCAATATTCACCCACTGAATGTATCGTTCTAATCTCTATCTTTGAAGATTATTCACTAAGTCCTGTATTTCATGAGGGTCTTCAATCTAAGTTGGCACCACACTCGTCATCATCATCCTACAACAAAATCGCCTAATGTGTACAACGTCTGTCTGCAGGACAGTCCTACATTTTCCGCCACAGCACTGTAGCACACCTGGATAAGGAGTCAAGTCAATGTTACCTTTCAGTATTGTCGAAGTGCGAAGGTAAAATCAAGGTAAAAAGGAGCACATATGTTGAACCCCATTTACTACACATTTACCAGATTTCATTACATTTAGATAATGACCACGTAACTACCATAAAAAGCATTTCTCCAAATAGCCTCCGTCGTGTTTAAAAGATTCCACAGAGGCAGATGGAGGCGCCGTTGGACGCCATAGACACAACATATTAAAGCACACTTGAATTTCAGAAAAGCATATGAAGCAATATATTAAGGCTTACACATCGTTGTACCCCTTGTGACTGTAGGATTCAGTTTATAAACATGTCATCATTATATTTCGTGAGGTGCTGTTTCAGAAATACATTTCATGTTTACATGTCATATTAATCAAGGAGAAACAAGGTTTACTGTCTAAACAAACTCCCCGCAAAGAACAAGGGTCTACATGTCAAAACTTCACCAGTTGATTATAAAATAAGCATTAATTGTTACTTGATTTAAAGGTTCATTAATGTTATGTAAGTTCCTGTATGCAAATGTTGCAGGAGTACCGGTATCTTTGATGCAACAATGTCCTCACACTGAAACATGAAAGTTGGGCCTACCTTTAGAATTCTGGCGATCGTAGCTCCAATACATTACGATAGCCTGACGATAGACGGAGTGAGAAAAATCGAAGCCCCCATACATTAAGATAGACTTACTGTAGTCAGAGCGCGAAAATCGTAGCTCCAATACATAACAATAGCCTTACGAGAGTCGGAGTGAGAAAAATCGTAGCCCCTATACATTAAGATAGACTTACTGTAGTCAGAGCGCGAAAATCGTAGCTCCAATACATTACGATAGCCTTACGATAGTCGGAGCGCGAAAATCGTAGCTCCCATACATTAACATAGACTTACGACAGTCGTTGGGCTAAGATAGCTTTGTGAAACTTGACCCGGGGGCAACAAAGTTAACAAACACGTGACAAAACCCTATGATGTTCTATCCCTGTCATACCTAGATAACAGAAGATGAGTTTTCAAGTTCAGTGCCAACGGTCGGATGATGGACGCCAGCCATAACATAACCTCATTTTGACGATATTGAAAGGTTGTATAAGGAATCAGGTGTTTTGTCACAACTTAATCTAGTCCGTTTGGGCGTTGGCAGCTCACTTGTGTCTACCGTAATACGAGCTCTGTGGTGTGAGACGATGGCAAAATGAAACTTTGTACACTCTTTACAACATGAGGCGATCTTTGTGAGTGAAAGAAATCCATCCTTAAACACGTCGACGGTTATTTGTGTTTTGAAATCATGCATGATATCATTTCTGAGTATGCCCTCTCACATTCAGTTGAATGATTTACTTCTCGAGATCTCCAAAGCGAACCGAACAAACCGAATGTACTTGCTTCAGTCATGTTTTTTATTGAAGAAAAATCTCGCGTTTTTTCTTACAGATCAGTTTTAAAATACTTATTGCAAGCTCAATTAGACTAGAGGCCAGTGCATAGCGAGGCGTAGATTACAACATAAATGCTTCTTTTGTATGAAGCAATCTTTCTTCAACCCAGAGTTTGATGCGGCCAGCCTAGTAGCTCTGTCACATCCTACACAGTCCATTCACCTGTTTTCCATTCATTTGTTTCATTTTGGATGAGTCTACAGATTTAGAAAAAGATATATCATGAACTGTTCCAATTTCATTAAGAATATATCCCAAAACGTTCAATATTATTTTCATTTGCGTATTTATCCTCCATGGATGTGCTGTCATCTAAACCATATTGGTCACCGATCAGATATCGCCACTCTTCCCTTGTTCTTTCCACTGTTTTGATTCCCGATCGTCGCGTTACAGCGGAATACAAATTTTCCGTCGACCAACTGTACGAGTTATAGCCATCGTCGTAACAACACGTGTCATGTGACCACCTGCACCGCCATCAGCCCTACAGTCCGGCATGTAACACTCAATTTTTGTAGTCAAAACAAATAGTAATACATGCTTTTATCAATTTATGGGGAGACCGGAAAATAGAGGGACCGCGCTCTCAACAGTTTATCATAAACCATCAGCGCTACGGTCTAGCATGTAACTGATACACCCCGACACCCTGCTGTTAACCTCCCTGTGCCGCTGCAGATGTGCAATAGATGCGCAGACATTCACAACTGGCCATTCTCGTAACCATGTGAACAATATTACATAATATCCTGGGTTGATTCCCTTAGCCGTGATTTCTCCGACTGCGACCAGTGACAATCCAATACAAGAATGGCAGATTGCAATGATTTTTATCTGATCTCTCCTTAGTACATGTCAGTTGACTGCTAAGTTTACAAACCAATACAAAATACTGCACAGCAATTACAATGACAGTATGCAATAGAGTAGTAGTACAATATTCAATATCAGTATCAAATGCAAATATGATGGAGGTGATAATAATGTACACCTATCCGCAACAGTGGTCAAGCTTCCGAGATAGGCTCAGGCTGAACACAAGGGTGAAAAGTGATGTTCACATGGAAACTGGTCTTGATGTAATGTCAGATGAAATGTGTGATATAACTAGCTCCCAGCACATTCCACACAGTGTTTGACAAGTCCAGTGTCACTAGAACATCACATAATATTCTACATGTTTCGATAACACTTGACATCCATCCTATTTCGGAATTTTACAGATAATTCGAGCATCTAAATGTAAGAACTTCAACACCACTACTTAGAATACATAATATTACATTCCAGACAACTAAACATTGTCCAAATACAAAGCAATGACCTTCTACTGAATCTCAACAGAAACAATGTAATACAGTTCCAATCATTGTCTAACAATCGGCTACATCGCTTTATAAAAGGAGTCTTTTTTTGTTGTTGTTGTTGTTTTGTTCTTCTTATGAAAACGAGCAAACATATAACGAGATGCGATCACGTTGGTGTCGGGGAGTTGGCAGTAACTGTTCCTTAGATATCATATGGTCAGTTTCATGTTAAAAGGTATATTGTCATGCACCAAAGTGTGCACCAGTAATAGAATGTCTATATAATTACGTAAATCAATATGTAAGGCTTGCATTGACCCGGTTCTTCTCATTTCAGAATAAGTGCGTTTTCTTACAAACAAAAATCTGATTATATACGCCTACACCCGCGGGGTGATCGTTGTGAGCAGAAAGTTCAGGAATTATCGACTATTGTTTATAAACAATGCTTCAGAACAGTCCAAGTACTGGTCCTCTATATTTTCTGCTGTTATTCGTCATTCTGTAATAAATAAGAATACTGAAACTAGTTTCGTTTCGTTTCGTTTTAGTTCAGTCATCTACGCCGAGTTGGGAGTCTTATGTTAGAATACACACTGTCCCATTCCTTCTTAAATTCAACCAGACATTGAAGAATGATACAATGAGGTATACAAACAAGCATAACACCGTGGACACTTACTTACTGTGTTGTATGAAGGAGAAATGTGTGGACGAAACCAGAGTCAAGACCCTCTACAAGGAAGCTGGAAAAACCCGTGCTTAATATAACTGTTTATAATCTCCTCACACTCGTGTAGGATAGCAGAAGCAAGCTCCACCGCAGCGCCAGCATACCTCGCTAAATAACACAAGCGCCACCTGACTGCAAGGCAAAAACTGGTTCTCCAGGTGCTACGCGACGCAAGCTCAGACATAAAGTCTTTTATCTGTCCAATGCAGAGCACGAAACATTTTCCAATCATGGGACGTAGCTCAGTGTAGCTTAACATGAAGCGATGAGAAATGAATACAAATCCGTGTAATGAATAGGGGTACCAGCTCTATTAGCTTTCTATTAGCACCAGATATAAAACGGGTTTTTCTTCTTATGTAGGAAAGCGCACGTTAACTGTCCAATGGTAAGTAAGTTATGCATACTTGTTTTGGTCTCATAACATGTCATGGTGTTCATTCTGTAGACACCAGAATAGTGTGTATGCACTACACCTGTAGGTTTAGGACTGTCTTTATCATTGTACATGTATCTTCATAAATCCTTCAGTTTCAAGGGTTTTTTCAGGCAAGAGATCTTGGAAAGACGTGGTGTTAACTAACCATTTCGGAAATGGGTTATGATATAAAAAACATCCGATGACAAAAATTCGCATATTCTATAAAATATCCTAACAGTTTTTCGATTTTGTACATTTGTGCTTCGTGAAATGGTTGTGTATTAGTCCAAGTTAACAAGCCAGTACTCATGGTATTGAGCCTTATTATCAAATAATATTTGTTTTTATATAACTGGTATGAGGCTTTTCAAAATACGTTCAGTCTGTAACATTCAAAGTTTGTTTAGATAAATTAACATATAAGAGTTTTAATAATATTTGTCTATGTACATCATGAGGGAATGTACTGTGGGTGTTTTGCCAAATATATGAATAACTGCTACGCCCGATAAAAAACATACCGACAAGAATCCGATGTTTTAACCTTTGACATGGTCAGTTAAAACCCGAGGCGCGGACGATCCAGCGATTTCACTTGAAGATAAGAGGGTAGTGACGTCATTGCAATAAGATGACACATGGACGCCGTATTAATTATCATCCCCCACAACGAAGTGAGGCAGTGGATATAGGAACGGAGTTCGTCCGTCCGCCCGCCCGTCCGCTTCTCAACTGGGGAAAATTTTCTGAGAACCATTTCGCTCAGAGAAATGAAATTATAAACAATTTGGTTACGGGTCATGAACGGCTTAGTAAATTGTTTGATGGCACTTCTTAGAAACTGAGGGATGACAAAGTAGACACAATTTATGGATAACAACTTGCCACGTCAACAGTAAAATAAAGAAGTTGCTGTCCACATATTGTGTCTACTTTGTTAATGGGTAGTGTCTGCAAAGGGGTCGAGTTCTCAGAAACTACTCAAGCTGTTTATCTAAGAGATAATTATCAAGACTGAGTTATTATTTTCAGGGAAGGGGACTTTTGTGTGTATTAATGTCATTTAATTATTTTTGGTTTATTTACTACTATATGAACAAACAAAATTCTATTATGCCCCCTGGCAAGGGGTGGTGATATTGCTGTTCTCTTGTTAATCTATCATTATATTTCCTACACACCGCTCGGCTAATGACAATAATTGTGCACTCCATTTTACCCTTTTTCAAATTTTAGTGTATAAATCGGGAATATGCGTCTCGAACCTCTTAAAGCGGATTATTATTACTCCATAACGCTCGCCACGATATGGCTGAAATATTGCCTATGTGACGTAAAGCATTAACTCACTCACTTACTCCATAACGCTAGACATCCAGCCTATCCCCAAAGTTTCCAAATAATTCGAGCATCTTAATATACTTACTAACTTCCTCACCACTACTTACATTTAATAGTACTACATTCCTGACAACTAATCATTATCCAAATACAAAGCAATGAACTTCTACTGAATCTCAACAGAAACAATGAAATACAGTTACAATCATTGCTTAATTATCAATTGCACTACCAGATAACAGTCACAGGAGTCTACTTTTCGGGGTTTTTTAAAACATTTCTCGCTAATAAATACGAGCAAAAGTAAAACGAGAAGTGACCATGTGCACGCTAAAAGGGAAGTTGGCGATAACTGGTCGCCAGATACCATACGGTCACTTGGATGTATAAAGCAATATTGTCATGCACCTCAGTGTTGCGGTTGTAGGATGTCTATATAATTATGTAAATCAATATGTAAGGCTTGCATTGACCCGGTTCTTCTCATTTCAGAATAAGTGCGTTTGCTTACAAACAAAAATCTGATCATATAAGCCTACACCCGTGGGGTGATCGTTGTGACCTCTCATGGACTGTTATGGATGAACAAAACCTTCCAAATGGCGTGCTGGTTTTCTTGGAGAATTAGTCAGCAAAGAGCCGGAGTCACAGGAGACTAATCACACTTTTATTTACAAGAACAATTAACAATTTACAATATCTTAGAAAATAGCTGAGGGTGCCACAGAGAGTCGGTACAACCCTCTGGGCTGTGGGAGAGAGGTGTGCTTGGTAAGAGAGTCAAACCCCTTCTTGCCCTAACATGTGGTTTCTGTACGTATTTAACAAAATTTAGAACAATAAAATGGAATATGATTGGTTGATACACGATGGGTTGTGCCCTATGGTAAATGAATGGCTAGACAGAGGGGAATACTTAATCCTGTTAATCCTGTTGGACTGGCGCTAATCTTGTTGACAGATTTACTGGATGTTTTGAAAGAGATTATGGTGTCACTATAGACGAGCTTGTGTTTGGGCTAATCCTTAATGCACTATAGACGAGCTTGTATGAGGGCTAATCCTTAATGCCCTATAGACGAGCTTGCATGGGGGCTAATCCTTAATGAGTGTAAATTGAAGTAATTGCTGAATGTTATTCTAATATAGGTGATGACAGATTTACTTAAATAAAATAGTTCAAGGTAATCTATAAGACTATGTAGACATATCTTTTGTCTGGGAGATGGGATATTGATACCTTAGGCTAGCATTTATCTAAAAGCTTCAAATCTATTAAACTATGTAGACATAACTCTTGTCTTATTGAATAGTATGTCTAGGAGTTGCGCTCCCATTACCTTAGGCTAGCATCTATCTAAGAAGCTATAACTGAAACTACTGATATTTTATATATGCGTTTTACCTGATGATAAGTATTACTTGCTAAACTATAATTAAATGAAATGATGTATAAATATTACATCATGATAAGTCATAAAAGCACTTGATGTGGATCTAATTATTATAGGATAACTTAGTATAAATGTTATATCATGAGAGAACACTGGGGCAGAAACTCCTCTCGCGGAATAAGCCAAGTACACCCGAGTAAGTTCAGGGGTTATCGACTATTGTTTACAAACAATGCTTCAGAACAGTCCAAGTACTGGACCTCTATATTTTCTGCTGTTATTCGTCATTCTGTAATAAACAAGAATACTGAAACTAGTTTCGTTTCGTTTCGTTTTAGTTCAGTCGTCTACGCCTAGTTGGGAGTCTTATGTCAGAATACACACTGTCCCATTCGTTCTCAAATTCAACCAGACATTGAAGAGTGTTACAATGAGGTATACAAACAAACATAACACCGTGGACACTTACTTACTGTGTTGTATGATGGAGAAATGTGTGGACGAAACCAGAGTCAAGACCCTCTACAACGAAGCTGGAAAAACCCGTGCTAAATATAACTTTTTATAAGCTCCTCACACTCGTGAAGGATAGCAGAAGCAAGCTCCACCGCAGCGCTAGCATGCCTCGCTAAGTAACACCAGCGACACCCGACGGCAAGGCAAAAACTGGTTCTACAGGTGCTACGCGACGCAAGCTCAGGCATAAAGTCTTATATCTGTCCAATGCAGAGCACGAAACATTTTCCAATCATGGGACGTAGCTCAGTGTGGCTTAACATGAAGCGGTGGGAATTGAATACAAATCCGTGTAATGAATAGGGGTACCAGCTCTATTAGCTTTCTATTAGCACCAGATATAAAACGGGTTTTTCTTCTTATGTAGGAAAGCGCACGTTAACTATGCAACAGTAAGTAAGTTATGCATACTTGTGTTTGGTATATTAACTCACTCACTCACTCAACTTGTTTTGGTCTCATAACAAGTCAAAGTGTCCATTCTATAGACACCAGAAGAGTGTGTATGCACTACACCGTGTAGGTTTAGGACTGTCATTATCGTTGTACATGTATCTTCATAAATCCTTCAGTTCCAAGGGTTTTTTCAGGCATGAGATCTTGGAAAGATATGGTGTTAATTGACCATTTCGAAAATGGTTTCTGATATAAAAAAGATCCAATGACAAAAAAATCGCATATTCTATCAAATATCTTAACAGTTTTTCGATTTTGTACATTTGTGCTTCGTGAAGTGGTTGTGTATTAGTCCAAGTTGACAAGCCAGTACTCATGGTATTGAGCCTTATTATCAAATAATATTTGTTTTTATATAACTGGTATGAGGCTTTTCAAAACACGTTCAGTCTGTAACATTCAAAGTTTGTTTAGATAAATTAACATATAAGAGTTTTAATCATATTTTTCTATGTACATCATGAGGGAATGTACTGTGGGTGTTTTACCAAATATATGAATATCTGCTACGCACGATAAAAAACATACCGACAAGAATCCGATGTTTTAATCTTTGACATGGTCAGTTAAAACCCGAGGCGCGGACGATCCAGCGATTTCACTTGAAGATAAGAGGGTTGTGACGTCATTGCAATAAGATGACACATGGGCGCCGTATCTATTATCATCCCCCACAACGAAGTGAGGCAGTGGATATAGGAACGGAGTTCGTCCGTCCGCCCGTCCGTCCGGTTATCAACTGGGGAAATTTTCTGAGAACCATTTCACTCAGAGAAATGGTATTATAAACAATTTGGTTACGGGTCATGAACGGCTTAGTAAATTGTTTGATAGGCACTTCTTAGAAACTGAGGGATGACAAAGTAGACACAATTTATGGATAACAACTTGCCCCGTCCACAGTAAAATAAAGAAGTTGTTGTCCACACATTGTGTCTGCTTTGTTAATGGGTAGTGTCTAGAAAGGGGTCGAGTTCTGAGAAACATACAAGCTGTTTATCTAAGAGATAATTCTCAAGACTAAGGGGTATTTTTCAGGGAAGGGGACTTTTGTGTGTATTAATTTCATTTAATTATTTTTGGTTAATTTACTACTATATGAACAAACAAAGTTCTATTATGCCCCCTGGCAAGAGGTGGTGATATTGCTGTTCTCTTGTTAATCTATCATTATATTTCCTACACACCGCTCGGCTAATGACAATAATTGTGCACTCCATTTTACCCTTTTTCAAAATTTAGTGTATAAATCGGGAATATGCGTCTCGAACCTCTTAAAGCGGATTATTATTACTCCATAACGCTCGTCACGATATGGCTGAAATATTGCCTATGTGACGTAAAGCATTGACTCACTCACTTACTCAATAACGCTAGACATCCAGCCTATCCCCAAAGTTTCCAGATAATTCGAGCATCTTAATATACTTACTAACTTCCTCACCACTACTTACATTTAATAGTACTACATTCCTGACAACTAATCATTATCCAAATACAAAGCAATGAACCTCTACTGAATCTCAACAGAAACAATGAAATATAGTTACAATCATTGCTTAATTATCAATTGCACTCACAGGAGTCTGCTTTTCGGGGTCTTTTAAAACATTTCTCGCTAATAAATACAAGCAAAAGTAAAACGAGAAGCGACCATGTGCACGCTAAAAGGGAAGTTGGCGATAACTGGTCGCCAGATACCATACGGTCACTTGGATGTGTAAAGCAATATTGTCATGCACCTCAGTGTTGCGGTTGTAGGATGTCTATATAATTATGTAAATCAATATGTAAGGCTTGCATTGACCCGGTTCTTCTCATTTCAGAATAAGTGCGTTTGCTTACAAACAAAAATCGGATGATATAAGCCTACACCCGTGGGGTGATCGTTGTGACCTCTCATGGACTGTTATGGATGAACAAAACCTTCCAAATGGCGTGCTGGTTTTCTTTGGGAATTAGTCAGCAAAGAGCCGGAGACACAGGAGACTAATCACAATTTTATTTACAAGAACAATTAAAAATTGACAATATCTTAGAAAATAGCTGAGGTCGCAACAGAGAGTCGGTACAACCCTCTGGGCTGTGGGAGAGAGGTCTGCTTGGTAAGAGAGTCAAACCCCTTCTTGCTCTAACATGTGGTTTCTGTATGTATTTAACAAAAATTAGAACAATAAAATGGAATATGATTGGTTGATACACGATGGGTTGTGCCCTATGCTAAATGAATGGCTAGACAGAGGGGAATATTTAATCCTGTTAATCCTGTTGGACTGGCACTAATCTTGTTGACATATTTACTGGATGCTTTGAAAGAGATTATGGTGTCACTATCGACGAGCTTGTGTTGGGGCTAATCCTTAATGCCCTATAGACGAGCTTGTATGGGGGCTAATCCTTAATGAGTCTAAATTGAAGTAATTGCTGAATGTTATTCTAATATAGGTGATGACAGATTTACTTAAATAAAATAGTTCAAGGTAATCTATAAGACTATGTAGACATATCTTTTGTCTGGGAGATGGGATATTGATAACTTAGGCTAGCATCTATCTAAAAGCTTCAAATCTATTAAACTATGTAGACATAACTCTTGTCTTATTGAATAGTATGTCTAGGAGTTGCGCTCCCATTACCTTAGGCTAGCATCTATCTAAAAAGCTATAACTGAAACTACTGATATTTTATATATGCGTTTTACCTGATGATAAGTATAACTTGCTAAACTATAATTATATGAAATGATGTATAAATATTACATCATGATAAGTCATAAAAGCACTTGATGTGGATCTAATTATTATAGGATAACTTAGAATAAATGTTATATCATGATAGACCACTGGAGCAGAAACTCCTCTCGCAGAATAAGCCAAGTACACCCGAGTAAGTTCAGGGGTTATCGACTATTGTTTACAAACAATGCTTCAGAACAGTCCAAGTACTGGATTTTTATATGTTCTGCTGTTATTCGTCATTCTGTAATAAACAAGAATACTGAAACTAGTTTCATTTCGTTTTAGTTCTGTCATCTACGCCGAGTTGGGAGTCTTATGTCAGAATACACACTGTCCCATTCGTTCTCAAATTCAACCAGACATTGAAGAGTGATACAATGAGGTATACAAACAAACATAACACCGTGGACACGTACGTACTGTGTTGTATGATGGAGAAATGTGTGGACGAAACCAGAGTCAAGACACTCTACAAGGAAGCTGGAAAAACCTGTGCTAAATATAACTGTTTATAAGCTCCTCACATTCTGGGTAGGACAACGGAAGCAAGCTCCTCCACAGCGCTAGCACACCTCGCTAAGTAACACAAGCGCCACCCGACGGCAAGGGCAAAAACTGGTTCTCCAGGTGCTATGCGACGCAAGCTCAGGCAGATAGTCTTATACTTTTGCCAATGCAAAGTACGAGCCTTATTCATTATCAAATAATATTTGTTTTTATATAACTGGTATGAGGCTTTTCAAAATACGTTCAGTATGTAACATTCAAAGTTTGTTTAGATAAATTAACATATAAGAGTTTTAATAATATTTGTCTGTGTACATCATGAGGGAATGTACTGTGGGTGTTTTGCCAAATATATGAATAACTGCTACGCACGATAAAAAACATACCGACAAGAATCCGATGTTTTAACCTTTGACATGGTCAGTTAAAACCCGAGGCGCGGACGATCCATCGATTTCACTTGAAGATAAGAGGGTAGTGACGTCATTGCAATAAGATGACACATGGGCGCCGTATCTATTATCATCCCCCACAACGAAGTGAGGCAGTGGATATAGGAACGGAGTTCGTCCGTCCGCCCGCCCGTCCGCTTCTCAACTGGGGAAAAGTTTCTGAGAACCATTTCACTCAGAGAAATGAAATTATAAACAATTTGGTTATGGGTCATGAACGGCTTAGTAAATTGTTTGATAGGCACTTCTTAGAAACTGAGGGATGACAAAGTAGACACAATTTATGGATAACAACTTGCCCCGTCCACAGTAAAATAAAGAAGTTGTTGTCCACACATTGTGTCTGCTTTGTTAATGGGTAGTGTCTGCAAAGGGGTCGAGTTCTCAGAAACTACTCAAGCTGTTTATCTAAGAGATAATTATCAAGACTGAGTTATTATTTTCAGGGAAGGGGACTTATGTGTGTATTAATTTCATTTCATTATTTTTGGTTTATTTACTACTATATGAACTAACAAACTTCTATTATGCCCCCTGGCAAGGGGTGGTGATATTGCTGTTCTCTTGTTAATCTATCATTATATTTCCTACACACCACTCGGCTAATGACAATAATTGTGCACTCCATTTTACCCTTTTTCAAATTTTAGTGTATAAATCGGGAATATGCGTCTCGAACCTCTTAAAGCGGGATATTATTACTCCATAACGCTCGCCACGATATGGCTGAAATATTGCCTATGTGACGTAAAGCATTAACTCACTTACTCCATAATGGTAGACATCCAGCCTATCCCCAAAGTTTCCAGATAATTCGAGCATCTTAATATACTAACTAACTCCCTCACCACTACTTACATTTAATAGTACTACATTCCTGACAACTAATCATTATCCAAATACAAAGCAATGAACCTCTGCTGAGTCTCAACAGAAACAATGAAATACAGTTACAATCATTGTTTAATTATCAATTGCACTACCAGATAACACTCACAGGAGTCTGCTTTTCGGGGTTTTTTAAAACATTTATCGCTAATAAATACGAGCAAAAGTAAAACGAGAAGCGACCATGTGCACGCTAAAAGGGAAGTTGGCGATAACTGGTCGCCAGATACCATACGGTCACTTGGATGCGTAAAGCAATATTGTCATCCACTTCAGTGTTGCGGTTGTAGGATGTCTATATAATTATGTAAATCAATATGTAAGGCTTGCATTGACCCGGTTCTTCTCATTTCAGAATAAGTGCGTTTGCTTACAAACAAAAATCTGATGATATAAGCCTACACCCGTGGGGTGATCGTTGTGACCTCTCATGGACTGTTATGGGTGAACAAAACCTTCCAAACAGCGTGCTGGTTTTCTTGGGGAATTAGTCAGCAAAGAGCCGGAGTCACAGGAGACTAATCACAATTTTATTTACAAGAACAATTTACAATATCTTAGAAAATAGCTGAGGGTGCCACAGAGAGTCGGTACAACCCTCTGGGCTGTGGGAGAGAGGTCTGCTTGGTAAGAGAGTCAAACCCCTTCTTGCTCTAACATGGGGTTTCTGTATGTATTTAACAAAAATTAGAACAATAAAATGGAATATGATTGGTTGATACACGATGGGTTGTGCCCTGTGCTAAAT